ATGATTCCTATTTTATTTTTTAGATGAGCCAAAATCTAGTAACCATAAAATTACTTGTATGCCCTGCATATATAACATTAAATTATGTGTGTTATATATATGTAATTTTAAAATACAAGAAAAGTTGTTCCAATTACATTTTATTAATATTAATTTTCTAAATACTAAAATTTAAGTCCTAAATTTGCACTTAAAGTAAGTTCAAGAGGTCAATTATTTAATACATATTTATTTAATAAAATGTGCAATTTTAATATTAATCATAGTATGAAGTATCAACCTTCAAAAAATCTGGAAGCCAAGAATCATGTAAGTCATATATGTGTCCATAAGTTTGTTCATAAATATAACTTTTGTACTATTATTTATATGTATTATGTTTAGTATTTGAGTGATATATTAATTAATGTAATTAACTTCTTTAATAAAGTAAAATTTTCTGAGTTTCCATTGCTCTAAAGATAGTCACACAAGTACTGTTTTTGCTATTATAAATTCTACACAATTGAGTTCATTATAGTTCTTCTTTTGCCAATTATGTGGGTTTATGCTCACTAACAAACAGTGGAATTATATTTTTCAAGGCAAGAATCAAGTTTCTTTTTGAGTTCTGCTGAAATTTAATTTCTATTAGAGCAAACCATATAAGTCTTTCGAGTGTCTTGTATATTTTATACTTTATTGTTTAACGACAATCTAAAGAGGACCTTTTCAGCAGGGAGCCAACACTGAGGGCATCTGGATGACATCTGAGCCATATTCTCATGGAACTTTTCTCTGTCCTGCTGGGTTGAATTACAGTAGAGACTAAGTCCTCATTTTGACTTGTAGGGTGTGACATTCCCAATGAACTAATTGTTCTATTATTAAAATTACTTCAGTTGATTTAGTAACACACATCTTGAATAAGTTTTTGACTAGTAATAATAAAGACATTAGAAAGGCAATTACAAGACCAAATATGATAGCAAAAAAGAAATAAAATTAATGCATTTCATTTTAGTTAGTTCCACAGGTAAGTATGATCATTTTGGTGGGATATATCTTCAATATATTTTATTCATTAGTTCTTAAATAATCATATAACAAAATTTAAGTAATTGTTTTGTCTATGCTTTCATAAAATATTGATTCAAATGTCTTTATATCTTCTCATTTAAATAAAATGTCATTATTTACTTTTCTATGTAATGTAAAAATCATAGATGGTTTTGATATGAGCAATGTCTATCTCTACATTTTTAATGAATAACTCATTTTGCACAAAGAATATTTATTGTTGTGTAACCAAGACATCAGGAATTAATGGCCATAATTAATTCTACATATCAAAGTCTATTATTCTATACTTGGTACTTTACAAATATTTTAAATCTTAATTACAGTAAGAATACTGAAAATGTTTTGTTCTAATTTACAAATCAAAATAATGAATTTTCTATATTAATTTGCCTATTATTTTATACTTATAAGTGACACAGCCTGAGTCTAAATTTAAATATGCTCACTTGAAATTTTTATTTTTTGCAGAAACACTGCCCTGCCTTCTACATAAAAACTTGTTTGATTCCATTTGAGTAGAAAATAATTGACCCTTTATATATATATAATTAACAGCTTTAATATTAACTTTTGTTTATGGGTTTCAAGAACTAAAAATTATATAATTAAACCCAAATCTATATATGTGCTCATACTTAAAGACCTTCTTTTTTAAATGAAGAGGCAATCAAAGCATATACTTTATTATCACTAACTGCAAGTAGTTATTGCAGAAATGATTTGTATGTGAAACATTTAATGACACCCTTTCATTCATTTAACTTCTTGTATTTTCTGTGATTTCTTCTTTTTCAAACACTCTTTTCTTTCTTTCTTCCTTCTTTCCTTCCTCCTCTCTCTTTCCATCCTTCATTCCTTCCATTTTCTCTGTTGCTCTTTGAGTTGTATCTCTCAGGTATTTTTGTCTCAGTAAACTAAATAGCTAACACAGCCCCAAGATGGCACCTGAGGGCTGGGAGAGAGAGAAGCTGATGTACAAGGTTCCTGGATAAACTTCTTGAAGAAGAGTCATGGTCGTGTTTCTCTTGCTGGTCGAGATAGACTCGACAAGTGGTGGCCCGTATGGGGAACCCCTCTTCAGTGAAGGCTCAGAACTTCCTGCAGTCGGGGCAGTCGACTGGTAAGTCCCAGGTAAGTTGGGACCAAGTTAAGGACCTCGGTAAAGAGGCAATAAGGTCTCCGGTAAGGAGTGATAAAGTTCCGGGAACAGACAAAGTAGAAGTAACCAAAAGTGAAAGTATGGGGAATTTGACATCAATACCCATTTATCTCGCTCTTCAAGAGCTGTTGCACTCTAAAGGGCTGAGGCTAGCAAAGGGGCAGGAGGTGTTAGAACAGCTGAAGGAGGAGCACTCAATGATATCGGAAAAGGACAGTTCTGAAGAGAGTAGTTCAGATTCAGAAGAGGAGAAGGGTCCCTGGCCTCAGTGCCCTCAAATATGTGGGGCCATGGAGGACATGTCTGATTGCATATGGGTTGGTATCGTACTCCCATCTCTGGGAAAAGAGACTGGACAGGTGTGGCACAGCTCGGCTGATAACTGGGCATGGGGTCATTACAAAGTCCCTTGATTTCAGGGATCAGACCTCTACCCTTGCCTGTTGTGTTATTTTTAAATAAAAAAGGGGGAACTGTGGGGAGCCACAGACCCAAGATGGCTCCTGGCTGGATGCCAGGGAGACCGAGCTTAGCTGTAAACAAGCCTTATTTGGAAGCGCTTAGTGGATCTGGTGTGCCTCCTCCAGCTGTGACCTATCCTCGATCGATAGGTGGAATGAGCTAATTGGGTAATGATATTGCTTTTAGGGGCTTGCCGGGGTGCTGGGAGAAGTAGAAGCTGATGTACAAGGTTCCTGAATAAACTGCTTGAAGAAGAGTCATGGTCGTGTTTCTCTTGCTGGTCAAGATAGACGCAACAGACATTGAATTGTTTCGAAAAATGAAATTATTATAATTGGTTTTCATGTCAACATGCCGCAGATTAGAATTACCTGAGTAGGGAGCCTCACCTAAAGAATTGTCCTGATTGATGTGGTGAGGCCTCTCCAATGAAGGCAACTCCTTCTGTTAAGATACAGTTTTTTTTTTTCTTTTAAGCTTTTGAAAAGGAAGTTCTCCCTCTCACTTTTTGCACATTTGGCCTGTCCTATTGCCAGAGTTGATTTGTCCTATTTTGTCCTTCTGAAGCTAATTCCTGTGCTGACAGTAGAGCCAGATTTTTCAAAATTTTAGGTTTAAGTTGCAAGATTGGGAAGACTGCAGCATCCTGTCTTATGGACTGGATAATTGCCAATCCCCTGTAACCTAGTGATAACAGCTGTTCAAAGACCACTCCCATTGAGACTCGCATCATCAAGGACAGAGTACCAGGTTCTCAGGCTCAATAATGATTGGGCTGTTGTGATTATTTTAATGCTTTCTTGGGAAATTCTGATATATATATATATATATATATATATATATATATTTGCATGTGTGTGTGTTTTGTGTATTTCTCAAAATAATGCTAGTAAAATAAAACCATATATTTCATAATCAGTATAGAAAGCATGTGCCATTTTAGCTAAGTACAAAAACAATTATATTCTATGGAAGAGACATGTTACATATAAGAAATAAAAATCAGCCTAAGAAAAATTAAAAACCACCTTCCTAGTGGCTCTTTGAAATATGTGGTAGTTTGTTTCAATATTTTAAAAAGTGTAAATTGTTAACTTTAAAATCAATGACACAATAGATGAATAAGACTTTCTTATCTCAGTGGCATCCAAAGGTAAGAACATGAAGATATTGGGAGAAATAGCTTGTGGAATAAATGACATTAATAGATAAGTTTGAACAGTTTATTATAGATTGTAGAATTTGTTTTACACTTTGGTTAAAATGATAGCATTTAGTAATCTGAAAGTATGCCATCTTTCCATCTTTAATACAGACATTTATAGACTATGTAACACATTACAATTAAACATTTTTGTAATATAGAGACATACATTTATTAGTATAATCTTAAGGCATAATATAGTATTAGGCAAGGATTCTAAGAGAACAGAACTGGCAGATGCCAATGTTGTCAAGTTTGTAGATTTCTTTTTTTTTTTCACTGCCTCTCTTTTTAAATTCCTACCCCAACTTTAGAATTCCAAATATGAGAAATAAACACTTCTTTAGAAACACGTGGTCATCATTTTTCAAGCTCTGATTTGTGTTGTTTCAGTGGCACATTGATTTCCTGGGAGACAATGTTCTCCATTTATCAGATATGTAGGTATATGTTAATATGAGCATGTTCCAGGGACCAGCAGTGTAGCTCCATCTGATAGGGATGTTCAGCAGTTAGAGTGAGCATGAGTGCAGAGTCCAATCTCACATATCTAGCTGGGTTATGATTAACTTGCTTAATCTGTATGGAGAAATGTGTCTTTATACAGCTTTTTGTTGCTGGCTTAAATGTGGAAGTGATAGACAGCTATTCTGGAGTCAGAATTAGAATGCAACTACAGATGTCTATGCTTCCCCATTATGAGAAGTCAGCCATTTCTACATGCTGCAACCCATCATCATGAACAATATTATATGGATACACAGTTATCAAAGTACATCATTTATACATAGGAAAATAATCCAAACTAAACATGACATGACTGTTAAGTTTACATTTAGTTCAACATTTTACAAGGCATTGCCAATATCTTTTTACTGGTGGTTATTGAAGAAATAGCATTTTTTTTATTATGGGTAGAATATCAAAACAGGTTTTCATAAAATATGGTGGAAAATAGACTATAAATTATTTGAATATAAAAGTTCTAACTTTTTAAAACTGTTTTTGCCTGGTGTATTTAAAAAGTGTAATCATTTCTTACTAAAATACACAAGCTGCATGTTAGAATCAGATGTACACATTTACCATCAAAATAAGTAACGTTACTTTTACTCATAACCAAATGGCAACATCTGACTTTACATCTTGGAACTCATTGTAGGTGAATGATCGTGACCGTCTCCTAAGATTTGTTGGTCTCTGAGGTCTTCCTTCTAGCAGATGTACATAGATCTCAGATTTCAGAAAGCGTGTATAACTGTCTTGTTCCATGAGCTGATAGACTCTGCTTTGAGCTGCATCAAAACTGTGGAGAGTTGGCTGTGTGATGCTCTTAGTAATTACTTCTTTGGTATGAAAATCAAGGTTAACCTGCATAAATAGGAAAAAAGGTAGAATCATACATGATCTAATACAATGTCTTTGAGAACATCTCATGCTCTTACAGTGCTGGAGAGGCTATGATGTGTTTGGAAACTGGGGTATTTCCTCCCCAGGTCTAAGGATACAGTGGTGTATTCTAGGGTGCTATGTGGCTTTCCTAACTCTTTGTTAATAGTTAGGCTTATTCTAACTCAGCACAATTGAATAACGCAATAATATCTTTCACATAATCACACATTAACGCATTCTTTTTCACAGTGAGGAGCTAATGTCTCAGAAGTTAAAGTGTTTAAGTTATACGTGCATGTCTGTGTTATCAGTAAGACCTTTCTGTTCAAGCACCCATTTTTAAACATTTTTTTCTACAAGCAAAAGTGTGACAACAGATGAATATGTCTTAAACATACAATACCCTTCAAATGATTTTGTTATACACCTGTTGATGTACTAAAACTATATTTTCAGGAAGCTATCCTGTTTTCCACTTTTGGGTAGCCATATAATCTGCTATACTTTTATATGAATAAATAAAGACCCTTTCTTGGAGCAACATGTCTATATAAAGAGTATTGCTTTATAGACTATGTAGTAGTTTCAATCCTAAAGATTTTCAGAGAGTTGTTAATATAATTATAATAATCAAGGTTTGGTTGACACCCTGTAGCACTATTGGACAGTAATGGAATCCTTAGGAGGTAGGTTCTAGTTCAAAGAAGTTAGGTCATTGAGGAGATACTGAGGAGATACTCTCTCCCTCAATCCCTTTCTATTTCCTACCATCTCGTGCCTTCCTCTCTTTACTTAGAGCAACCATAAAGTGAGCAAGTTTCTCTGCTATGCATCTCTGCCATTACATATAGCTTTGCTATGGTACCCAAATCAACAGGACCATATGTCTTCTGATATGTGAGACAAAACATTTTCTTTTCTTATTTCTTTAATTTGAATGATTCTAGTAGGTATTTGTTTCATAACCAAAAGGTAGAACTATAGTAATAATTTGTAGCTGAACAGTGAGAGAGCATATGTGCTACCCTGAAAGTAGAAACACTATATATTGAATACAGAATAAAAATATGAAGCAATTAAATATTTTGCTGCAGTCGAGTAATATCTGCTAAACTCATAGTCAACTTACTGACTGACTATACCATAGAATCAACTCATTCACTTGTAATCAAAAGAGCAATTGTTTGTCCCTTGAAACACTGCCAAATAGAGTTATATCATTTGCCTATTAGATATTTTCTTTTAGATTATCCCAAACTGATAAAACAATTCTTTTGGACAAATTAAACTTTATATAGGTGGATAAAATAAAATTATTTTTAAATTATATTTATTATTTGGGGGACATACATGTCACAGAATCGTGTGAAGAGAGCATCTTTGGGCAGCTGGTTCCCTTTTTCTACCATGTGGGGTCTGGGCATTGAACTCAGGTCTTTGGGCTTAGAGATAAGCACCCTTAACCATCTTTAATGCCACTGGCAGTATAAACTTGTGAAGTCTTGCAAGTTTTTTAAATGGTGTATAACATATTTGTTTGTTTGTCTTTATCACCTTCAGAAATCTTTAGTTTCTAATAAGCAGTTGTTTCTGCTAATGTAGTCTGTAAAGATTTTAGAAAGGAACAAATGTTGCAACTTTATTCACTCTTAGTCTAACTCTGAAGATTGACCTTATACTTTTAATCAATGATAATATTATGTTATATTATGTCAATAAGTACAAGTCTGAAATTAACCAGTTTCACTTTAACAAAATCTTCAGCTCTCTGGTAGAATGAATGTGGTAGCCAGCTTGAAGAAAACAGACCCCATGAAAATGTGCTTTCAATCATCACTGTACCTCTTTTGGAGCATCATTCCGAATGAATTTCTCATATATTGCTTTGGCTTTCAGGCTGATTTGTTGAGGTTCCTTGCATTTCTTGAAATCTTCACAGGCTACCCAAAATTCAATGTTTTCCTCACTGAATTCAGTTTTAAGAAATCTAGTAAAAGCATCCAGTCCATCTACCATACAAAAAACAAATAATAATTTGTTACTATGATGCTCTACTTGATATTAAAACATATACAAATACTAACAGTAAAAGTTATTTTCCTTCTAATTCATCATGGCCCCACATATTTAACCAGTATGTGTGGGGAACATCATAGAAAAATATCTTTTTGAGCAAATGAAAGGACATTCTTTCTATGAAATAAGACTAAATCACACTTTGATCTAAATCCTTAAATATAAGAGTAAAAAGGACCATCTTGAATCGCTCAATTTACATCTCGGGGAGATTAGTCTATGACTTCTGATGCCTTTCTCTTGGATTCTATTCTGCACACTACCAGATCAGGCTTGTTGTACTGGAGACCCTCAAGTTCTCTTTCCATTGTCTCTACATTTCCAAGTTCCACACTGTCCTCTTTTCCCAAATTTACACTGTCCACCAAATTCACCCTGCCTGTGAGTCCTGAGCATGAACAGGCTTAAATTGTCAGGCCTTACATATTCCAGGAGACTTGTCATATGCTTAGGAGGAAATAATCCATGTTGGAAAGAGAATGAAAATAAGACATATTTAGTTTTATGTAATTGTAAAAATTTTGAGGAATATAAAATCAAATACTATCTTCTGAGTATTTTATTTTTTTGTTTTAAAATTAAAACAATAAGATACACTTGTAAAGTAGCAACATGACCTATACCATGTAAAAGTTTAAACACAAGAAACTGTTTTTGTCCTTTTGCCTTGTTGCCCATACGTCTTTGGGACAGTCTATAAGTTATAAAAAATTACCTGGATTCAATATTATGTTTGCCTACCTCTCATGTGTCCTTAAGTGGATGTTCTTTTTCTTTATTCAATTCAGTTTCTCAATATTGAAAATTAAGAAAGTGTTATCTATTTCATTGGGCTAACTAGTGAAGTAAGTGTGTTGACATAGAATGCAAGAAAAAAGTGGCTGGTACATGGTAACTACTCCATCATGATGGTGGTGGTAGTAATGACAAGGTTGGTAATATTTGTGGTCATTGTCATTAATTTATGTTTAACCATGTAAAGCTTCTGTAGGTAAAATGTAACAAACCTCAGATTTAACTGTAAGACATTCAGAATTTTAACTTGTGTTTCTTCAACTACTTTGGTTATTCTTACTTTTTTCTGATCTATGAGATTTTTTTTTAATTGAGAATATTGACTGGAATTGGAAGATCTAAAGGAAAGGCACTATTATTGAAAAACAACACCTACAAAAAATGTTGAACACAGAAAATTTGAGTCATGCTTACCTAAAACTTTTTTTCCCTACCAGCTAGTGTTCTTAGTACCAAAAGGTGTGTGCTCCTTATGCTACTGTTGAGGGATACAAGATCACACTGTAAACTGAATTTGTGATAATTAAATAAAACATTGGGTTAAGAGGTAGTGCCAACAACTAATTGGCAAGAAGTAGCCATAGCGAGTTAGAGGGAATCTTGAAAACGGATAGAGAAAAGCTCAGGAAATAGTAGGAAGGGGCTTTGAATATGGGTTGTTGGCTAAAGAGGAAGGTCAGCTGGTTGCTTTTCAGTCTCTCTGAACTAGCAGCTTTTCACCCCAGTATCTGACTGCTGAATCTTTACTGGTAAAATGGAAACATTAGAGACTTAGTTAAAAAGTACATTTGGCTGCAGTGGCAGAGGTGGTTCCAGTGGGACTTGCCTCCAGCTGAGCAGCAGGGTCCCTGATCTCAGTGCCAAGTTCAGTAGCTGAAACAGCAGTAAATTCAAGTGTAGTTGCTGTGCTGAATATAAACAAAGTGCTACCAAAGGAGAAATGTAAACACCAAGCTAGTCACATAACACTTTGAATCTACAACAGTGTTCTGCTTCCAAGATACGCTAGTGCAATGGTGGCACAAAGCTTGTAAGAGAATCAACCAATAATTGATTTGACTTAAGGTCAAACCGTAACTGTGGTGGTTTAAATAAAATGGTACCCATAGGTCCATAGGGAGTGGCACCATTAGGAAATAAGGCTTTGTTGGTAGAGGTGGATCATTAAGGGGTGGGCTTTGAGATCTCAAAAGCTCAAGCCTGGACATTATGGCATTGTCACACCCTGCTTCCTGTATATTCAGATGTTGAACTCTCAACTCCTTCAGTACTATGTCTGTCTGCACCCCAACATGCTTCTTACCATTAAGATAATATACTAAAGCTTTTAACTTTAAGCCAGCCTCAATTAAATGTTTTCTTTTATAAGAGTTTCCAAGGTCATGATGTTTCTTTACAGCAATAGAAATCCTAACTAAGACAACAAACAAAACACATAGTCACATATAGTACATGTATATGTAAATATAAAATGAATCATGATAAATCTTCATGATAGCACTTGTATTTATATTTTCAGGACTGACCATTTGGTATTAGATATTAGGGGTACACGGGAGAGTTATGAGGTAATAAAGAAAGGGAAGGGGAAATGATGTAATTCTAATTCTCATAAATAAAAGTTATTAGTAAAATATAATTCACTTTTATAAGGTTTTAAAACACCTCATATCCATGTCCAGTGTCTGGTCAATTTTCTGAACCTGTCTCTTATATTTTAACTTTCTCTGTTCTCGAGTAAACTTCAACTAAAGAATTCAGAATGTTCTATTCCTCTATTTTTTTCTTCAGTGCTACCTGCTCCTTTTTTTCCTAGTTTCTTCCTTTCTGGCAACATTGTTTTACTGAAAATTTCCTTTATTTCTGTGTTTTTTATACTTTTTGAACTTGCAGAAGAGAAATTAGATGTCACACAACTTCAGAAACAATGAAACTCTCTAGCCTAATATTATTAAAAGATTTATATCACATCACAAGGAATTATCAAAAGAAAAATCTCCTGACTTCAAATATTCCTCCAGCTAGTGAAGTTTGTTTTCTTTTAACAAACATAAAATCTTTGATTAAATTTGCCATGTTTTAAACTCTAAAAGTTTAAACAATTGTCACATCAGTTCTATCAGTCATAATTAATCATGAAAGAAAAACGTTCAATGATAAAAGGAGGCTAAAGGGACTGTTGACCACCATGCCTTCTCTAAAGAAGATAAAGGAAGAAATATGTTAATCTAAAGAGAAAAATAAACTAAAGAGGCTACAAGAAAGACTAATTAAACAAAAACAGGACTAAAATAAAAGAAAATGACAAAATGTAATACATACCTTCCAGTAATAACTTTAAATATCAATGGACTCATTTTACCCATCAAACGACATAGGATAGAACACTGAATTTGAAAACAAATTCCCTCTTTTTGTTGCCTCTAAGAAACATACATTAGCATAACAAAGGAACAAGGGTTTAGAATTCAATAGGTAAGAAAGTATTCCAAGAAAATGCAACCAGGAATCAGTGGATATTGTTCTTTTAATATCTGACCAAATAGACTTCAAACCAATTGTTGTCAGATGAGGTAGTTACTTAGATGATGGTTACTTCATATTGATCAGGGGAATAACACATAAAGAAGAAATTACACTTGTAAATACATGTTTTCTAAATAAAATTCATACAGTTTTCTTAAGTATACACTACTAGATTTAAAATCACAGATTCGTTTCTATTTAGTAATAGTGTATAATTTCAGTACCATGTTCTAACCATTTGTAGATCAACTATACAAAACATGAATAAATATAATAACTTCTGGATTATATATCATCAAAATTGAAATGGATATACCCAACATTTATAGAATATTCAACCTAAACACCAAAGAATACAGTTTCTTTTCATAACCTCATGGAATCTTTAAAAGAGACAACATTTTAAAACACTAGGGGATAAAACCAACCAATAAACCAACAAATAAAAAAACAAAACATATGAAATTGAGAAGCTAGTCTCCAAAACACCAAACAATCCAATTAAAAAGTGGGGTACAGAAATAAATAGATAATTCTCAATAGAGGAATCTAAAATGGCTGAAAGACACATAAGAAAGTGTTCAACATCCTTATCCATCAGGGAAATGCAAATCAAAACAACTCTGAGATACCATCTTACTCCTATCATAATGGCTAAAATCAAAAACACCAATGGTAACTTATGCTGGAGAGGATGTGGAGAAAGGGGAACACTCCTCCACTGCTGGCGGGAGTATTAACTGGTTCAGCCACTTTGGAAATCAGTATGGTGATTCCTCAGGAAAATGGGAATCAGTGTACCACAAGATCCAGCAATTCCACTCTTAGGCATATACCCAAAAGAAGCACGTTCATATAACAAGGACATCTGTTCAACGATGTTCCTAGCAGCACTATTTTTTTTATTTGAATTAGAACCAAGATTATTTTACATGTCAATCCAATTTTCCTCTCCCTCCCCTCCTCCCCTACCAATGCCCCCCCAACTAAAACCCTACCTATCACCTATCCTTTCTGCTCTATTTGTAGAAAGGTAACCCAGTCACAAAAAGACAAATGTGGTATGTAATCACTTATATGTGGATTTTAGACATAGAGTAAAAGATTACCTACAATTAGCCTACATTAGCCTACAATGCACACTGCCAAAGAAGCTAGTAAACAAGGAAGACTCTAAGAGAGACATCCATGGTCCCCTGGAAAAGGGGAAAAGGACGCGATCTCCTGAGCAAATTTGGAGCAAAATAGGAGGGAGGAAGCTAGGAGAATGAGAAGGGGAGAAAAGGAAGGGTGAGTAGGACATGAGCCAGCAGAAAGGTTGAGTTGGGGGAAGAATAGAAGAAAATAAGAAAGGAGATACTATAATAGAGGGAGACGTTTTAGGTTTACAGAGAAATCAGGCACTAGGGATATGTCTGGAGATCTACAAAGATGACACCAGCTAACAGTCTAAGCAACAGAGGAGAGGCTACCTTAAATGCCCTCCCTGGATAATGAGATTGATGACTGACTTATATGCCATCCTATAGCCTTAATCCAGCAGCTGGTGCAAGTAGAAGCAGACACCCACAACTAATCAATGAACTAAACTAGAATCCAGTTTCAGAGAAGG